CCAGCGCAGCGCCCAGCACGGGCAGGAGCACTGACCTCACCGCAGTACTCGGAGATGAACTCGTTCTTCTGCACAGACTCCTTGATGAAAGTCCCCCAGCCGGCGACATCCGATGGTGCCAGCTGCCAGCAACAGATGCTGCAGCCGAGGTCAGAAGGACACGGTTACGGTCGGCCCACCGCCCCCAGCCTTGGATCACTCCCCGAAAGCCGCAGGGAAGAGCTCTGGGCTGCCCAGCACCGCTGCACACCGTGGGGTTCGGGCAGCACCCAGAACAGCCGCACTTGGAGCCCCCAGAGCGTGGGCCAAGGGACTCCATGGAGCACAGGGACCCCATGTCTGTCCGGGAGCCCCCGGGTTGAGGCAACACTCGGCTCCCTGCAGACTGACACATCGTGGCTGCACATTACCTGACACCCACCCATTTACATCTTTCTCTGAACTTTGGTCTTTTTCGTGTGCAGTCCCTTGCCCTGAGCAGCAGAACTGAAGACCTGACCTTTCTCTGGAGTCACTTTCTACCCCCCCTTGCTCTCACCCTTCTCCTGTAACTCCCGTCTCCCCACCTCCACATGCATAATCCAAACTCCCGTGCTACAGAAGCTGGGAGCAGAGCAGCTTCTCTTCCAGACTTACTGGGGAAGCAGTGGGGGGCTCGCCCCGCCTCTCCCTCACAGCAGGAGCCCCCCGGCTCTACCCCGGGGCAGCCCTGGAGCCACGCTGCTGTCAGTACCTTTTTGAGGCCCCGCTGGATGCTGCAGTTCTTGCAGGAGACCACCTTGCAGTCCCAGTGCTCCGAAGCCCCGCAGGTCAGGCAGAGGTCCGGGTCGCACTCCCGCACGGCCAGGTAGCACGGGCACTGCTTGGTGTTGCACTGGGTTTTACAGCGGCAGCCGGGGAAGCGGTTCTGACCTGCAGCAACACGGCCCACAGCACTGAACCACGAGGGTTTCCAGAGAACAGAGGGGCTGCGCAGCGCCCCTGCCCCCCAGAAGCTCCCCCCAAGCCAGGTCTCTTGGGGCTAATTATGAAAATAAACTACTCGGACAATATAAACATAACCCATCAGTACATAGAATCCTGGAGCCCGAGCTGGCTCCCTGCCACCCCGCAGTCCTTCCAGCCCCAAGCTGTGTCATACCCCCGAACAAATCCACCCTCGGCAGCCCCGCCGACGTGGGCAGGTGCGGTTATCCCGCTGCAGAGCTGGGCACGGCAGGCAGGTCTCCAGCGACGCCCAGCTCTGTGCCCTCCCCCAGGCTGTGCCCAGAGATCTGCTGCTTTCCTGCCTGACAGCGCTGGGTTTCTCCTTACAGTCAGGGTTGCACTGGCAGAACTTCTCGCAGAAATTCTGAGTCATGATGCAGGGGCAGGAGCTGTCACAGGGGTGCTCGGGGTGGTCGCAGGGCTGGTAGTTGTACACCTGGGTGGGTGAATTATCTGGAACAAGAGGAGAAATGCCTGGATTAGAAGCTGCACGTTGCGGAAACATGGAAAAGCAGCTCGCCCAGGGCTCTGG